GGGGGTACAACGAGGTTTGACTGTATTTAGATTATTATAACAAGCCTTTATAATTTTTTTTTTACCTTGCTACTTTAGCATATTTTACACTAATATTACTAATTTTGGTAGCAAAGTTTGTGCCCTCTCAATGCATTTCTTATTCTTTTTGATTAAGTTGTTTGACACTTTGTCAAATATTTATGATTGTTATCATTGCTGGAGGTTTTGCTTATTCCTCTGCAGGAGTTCAGAGATGGAATTTCCAAGAACAACGCCGGGAAGAACGAAGGTTGAAAAGGCAGGCAGAAAGAGAAGCAAAAAATGTAAGAGAAAACTTGTAGATTACTATTTGTTGCTAGAGCCTTAGAGCTGGAAAACATTGACAAGTGCCAAATAGGGTTGTGGAAATTGGGATGTCAAAAGTCTGAAACAAAGAAAGATGGTTTACTTTAGAGGATATTTTGCTTCACTTTTTAAGCTAGCATAAGTAGTCTCCACCTTTGTTATCACCAATTTACATTTGTCCAAAGTGACAATGTGTGCAGATAGAATGTGAGAATCTATGAAATGGGACAAATGTAAGGCATCATGGTGAAATCAGGCGCTCGTCAAAGTACAGGAATCGAAGAAACAGGCATTTTTCCGGCAATTTGGACATTTTTATCGAATTTTTATTTTTTGGCTCAACCTCTTTTATGTCCATACCTGTCCCCATCGTTTTATGCAAAAAAAATTCTGAAATTATGCAAACTGAGCCAAAAAATGTGAAATTATGCGATTCTGTTAATTTTTAACTAAGAATGTTAAAGGAATATAATAAAAAATTATGCAAAAAATGATCAAATTTTGCTAAATTATGCGTGCTAAATTATGCGAGGTGCATAAAACCACGGGGACAGCCATACTCATTTCCTTGTGATTTTTACTGAAACACATTGATTAAAAGTACATAATATGTCATTTTTCAGTTTTCAAAGACTATTTAGCCATTGCATTTACAAAACTTTGGCAGCCATTTTCTCGCTAATTTCACCACTGAAACCAGGCAACCTCAATTCCTTCAATCGCAAATACCTTGAGCTCTATTCAAGATAGATGGGTATTTTTTTCACCAAAAGGAAGGAAAATTAACAGGCTTTAAGATGATTCAAATAACCCCACATACCGAAAAATTGACAAGCGCCTGATGACACAAATGGTATGGGCAAGATACTCTCACTTTTTTAGGGATATAATGTAGAACCTTGGGTGCTTTTATTTAAGAGAGAAGTGGGTTAAATAAACGGCAAAGAAATTAAAGTCATAGTGATATACATATATATATACATGTGTGTGATTAAGTTGCAAAGATATTATTCCTGTTTAGATTTAAGTTTTGACTTCCAAAATGTCAACAGGTGTGCTATAACTGCCGTAATCCAGGCCACAAGATGTCAGACTGTCCATTCTTAACAGAAGCCAATCAGCAGGGAACTTGCTTCAAGTGCGGCTCCACAGAACACACAGCTTCTTCATGTTCCGTGAAAATACCCAAAGGTGATTTTTTTTTAAAGAAGCTAGTTTAATTTTTTTTTGCTGGAAATGTTTTTATGCCTTCATCAAAACAATGGTCATCACCTGTTCATGACATACTATTATTCAGGGTTCCCGCGGCCTCATTGAATTCAAGGAGTCCTTGAAAACTGCTTGAATTTGCATTCAAGGAAAAATGTCCTTGAAAACTCCTTGAATTTGCATTCAAGGAAAAATGTCCTTGAAAACTCCTTGAATTTTGCCAGATCGGACAGGAACACGTGTACAGGGTGACTGCCAGGCGCCGGGAATCCCGGAGGCCCCTGGAATTACCCAGGAATTTGAAAAAAATCGCCGAGACCCGGAATACAACGGGAATTTGAAGAAATCTGTAAATTGCACGTGAAAGACCCGGGAAAATACATAAACGTTCTCGAATATTTGAAAACCACATCCGATAACGTCCTTGAGTTCATTTCTGCCGGTCGCGATTGTGATATAATATTCATTCGGTCTTTCCCGGCCTGAGAGTACGTTACACGCGCACATGCGATAATGGCGACAACAAGTGGAAGTATGTGCGATACCGAAGCTCGATCGGTAAAATCAAGATCTGTTTTCGCTTTCGTTACCACCCAGAAATATGCCGGTAGGGCATATAGTAGTCTGATAACACCACATTTGTAACATGCGGGTTCTGCGTTACATACGCTGTGTCACCATGAAAATAAATCGTTTGTCTTGTGCTGTCACTTGTGAAAAAAAAAAAGAAGAAAGTTATACATGTACAAGCTTCTTGTCGGGCTCGCCATCGTGACCGGTCATTGAACCTGTGCGTTTTTGTCACATCGTGAGTATCGGCGATGGTTGAGGTCACCAAAGTTCAGGCAAAGTCTGAGCTCTGCGAAGTATTGGACTCGGGAACGGGGGAATTGTTTGTTTTTTTAAGACGCACGCAGAGGGGGGGGGGGGGGGGTGTTGAAGGCAACACCGGATGACAAAAACTAAACTTGGAAGCAGATATTACTTTACAGAATTTTAATTACTACTATCTAGAGCTCTAAGCAAAGCGCGCGTTGGTGCAGGCCTTGTATGGAATCGGGATCTGTCATACTCAAACCTTGTACGCCGTGCGTTTGTAACTATAGGGTTCCCGTTTCATTGGGTAGGTTGTAATAAATTATATGTATTGTATATTCTATATTTTAGCTTTCTGTTTCAAGATTCGCAGATTTTCAGTGTCACTGCATCTTGCCCTCCCACAGTTCTTACACCTCTCACACTGAATAGATCTAGGTCTACTTGAGCCATTCATGTTATTACTCTACTTTTAGTTTTTGTCTTTCACGTTTATTATATAAACCTTGACACCCAAAATGGTTCTTAACAGTGGATGTTCTGGTTCTAGATCTAGCTCTAGGTCTTTTCTCAGGCTCAAAGCAAGATTCATTTTTATATAGTTTATACAGGGGAATATGATGAGGGGAAAATATAAATAAGTAAGAACTGACTGAAATACCTAAGTCACAGTATCCCAGTGCCACGTTGACATGTTGTTGACTGGATATAATGTACCTACATGCTTGCGTGCGCACGTGTGTGTGTATATATTAATATATAAATGGAGCTTGCACTGTCATTGTTATGTAACATGCCCCTGGAGAATGGATGAGCCCCGCCCCCTGGAAAATTGAGAAGCCGGGTTGACAGTCACCCTGGGAACAGTTTTTGTAGGAAAATCGAAACTATGATATGGTTCCTTTCGGACAAGTGTAGGCCTTTGAAAATAGGCTTTCGTCATGAATTTCTTGACCAAATCTCCTTGAATTTTAAAAATTTCTCCTTGAAACCTCCTTGAAATCTCCTTGAATTTGGTGAGAAGTTCATGGCAGGAACCCTGATTATTATTATAACACAATTTAAATAGATAATTCAGGGGAAACCTAGGGAATAAAGAATACTGCCAAAGAGGATGAAGATGCTCAACCAAAAGCTATGGGAAGCAGTCTCACATTTTTTGCATTTTTGCATACAACTTACAAGGTGAAGAACCTTGCCATTACTCCATGGATGCCGGTGATTTCAATGCTCCACAAAGACAAATTGGTGATTTAAAATGATGGGCTCTTGATACAGCGCTCAAAGATGAAGGCAGCAGTGATAATACACTTATGTGAGTGTCACACATAATATTTGTCTGGGCATAGATTTCACACATTTTATTTCATCTTCAGAGGGCTTTCACGTCCCGCTCATGTGCTGTGAGCCTGTTTGTTACCTAGGGGTGACCCTTTGTCAAACAGCAGAGTAATTGTTGAGAAGTCTTGGGAAGCCACATCTCCTAACATTGTCAAATTCTTTTTTTTCTCTAATTATTCGAATATATATATATATATCTGTCCCCGTCGTTTTATGCAAAAAAAATTCTGAAATTATGCAAACTGAGCCCAAAAATGTGAAATTATGCGATTCTGTTAATTTTAACAAAGAATGATAAAGGAAAATAATTAGAAATTACACAAAAAATGATCAAATACTGCTAAATTATGCGGGGTGCATAAAACCATGGGGACAGACATATGAAACATTTTTGAACGGACATGTCTTATTTACTATGACGTCAACACTGAGGTCTAAACCTTAGTAAACACCTTTGATACGGTACTATCTTTTTAAGTTTGTCAGTGAAAATTTCATGAGCTCATGGGGAAACTAAACAAAGCTGATGTCTAATTGTGTGCAACTTTTTCTTCCCTCTTAGGCTCTTTTCCATTTGCACAGTGTTTTATTTGTGGAGAAAAGGGGCACATATCCAAACAGTGTCCGGACAACCCGAGAGGACTTTACCCTAAAGGTAAGCCAAACTCTTGAAGCAAAGGAACTTAGTAGTGGGACAGTGTACTATAAGTGCTATAGGTTCATTCAACTGCATAGAAAAACATGGAATTGGAATTGATAAATTTATAGCTGCACATTATAAAGATAACCTTAAGGTTAAAAAAAGAAATGGGACATTCCCAGTGGGGATGGTTAACAGCCTACCAGTGTCTCTTGTCTCTTCTTCAGCTGCTTTGTTCTCTTTTCTCTAGTCGTCAAGGCAGCATACAGAGCAGCCGACGAAATTACCGTTGCGAAGAGAGGCATGAGAAGACAATCGTGTCTTCTTTTCATAATAATTATAATTGCATTATTTATAGCGCATATCCAGTCTCTGCAGCATTCTTTCTGTGTGTTTTACAACCATTATTACCCTACTAGACCTAAGAACACTGAGAGACATGTTCAGCTTTCCAGGAAACATACAGTGCAAGCAGTTGATTAAGTGCTCAAACACTACCAAACTGACAAGATTTTTCACTGTCTATAGCCGGGTACCCATTTCCACCTGGGTAAAGTGAGGAAAATTAGTGAAAATGTACCTTCCTCAAGGACACAGTATCAGCCCCTTAACACTTTTGCAGTCACACAGCCAGCAGTACAAAATACCCCCATCTGGTCACCCAGCCAGGAGAGCGACTGCAACTGACTTTTCTGGCCTGGCGCATCGAAACGGATCATTTTCACTGGTGCATTGTTGCACCTAGTGTGCGCAAAGTGTTAACAAAATTCGAACTTTAAACCTTATGGCCAGGCCACGAGGCCACTGAGAGAGCCAGAAGACAATCATGTGTTCATATCTGATCATATTTTCTCCCTTTATGTACAGGTGGCTCTTGCAAGCAGTGTGGGTCAGTAGAGCATTTGAAGAGGGACTGTCCAGAATTTCTCAAGAGGAGAGGTATGCTCGACTTACTTCTTTTTTTTCAAGTGGGCCAATTTTGTATTTCGTATGTTTTTCCATTATGTAGTAATATTTAGTAGAGATTTTTACACAGGAGTGGCCTGCCACCGCACCCTCAAATAAAAATAGTACACCAAGTAAACATCAACATCAAACTAATATTATTGCAAATTTAAATAATTGATCTATACTGCACCTGCTTACTGCTTCCGTCACACTCATTTCAGGCTTGGCATCAGTGTCCTTAAACATTTCATATAATAAGGCAAGTCCGGGTTCGAGCCTCCGTTCCGACGCGCATTTTTTTTCCGCCCCCTCCTGCCCACCCAGCAGTAATGGGTACCTGACTTCGAGGTGGGGAAGTAAAGGCGGCCTGGAAAGGAACCGGCCACCCTACCACAATATGCAGAAGGCCCAGGAAGCTGTCTCACTAACAAGGCAATCCCCAATGTCCAGATTGGATGCGGGAACAACTTTCCTTTACTATTGTCATGTGCTTGCTTTAGGGTGCATGGTCTGTTGGGGAGGTAAGGGGGTTTAAGAGTAAAAATATCGATACAAATTTTGAAATGTTCTTATAAAGAGTAAAGAGATGACAGTTTCACATTGATTGCCTTATTATTCTTTTGCTACACACTTTCACTACTTTTTTATCCCTCAAGCAGGATCATTTTGGACACAATACATTAGTGAATAGATCAAGCTTAGAGGTGGCAAATTCAGGAAAAATGCTTAAGAGATATGAAGAGTTTCACACTAACTTTTTAGGTCAACAACTAGATTCTCAAGCCTTTGATGGAAGTAGGGGGTCTAAAAAGCATTATAAACGTCCCATCGCACCCGTTTTCCTGATTGTCAGATCATCCAGCGGCAGATATGTACCTCTAAAAAAAAGGAAGAAAGACATAAAAGAAGTTTTTCACCATCTAGCATAAGGCTATTGTCAGAATAAGCATCAATGTGTATTGCTCTTTCGAGCATGCATATAATTAAAATTTTTATGTATAGCTGCATGTGTTTTACTGTCCTACAGCTAAGAAAAATTTTCCTCTGGGCTAATAAAGTATATCTTATCTTAACCTCTTTTTTTTTTTTTTTTGAAGTTTAAAAGAAAGGATGTGAATATTCTCCCCTGAAATGAATAATTGGGTCTCGTTCCTTGTGTAGATATATGAATTAAATATATATATGTGTGCCATGTTTAAGAATGTGCGTAAACCATGGTTAACATGCAATGCGCACGAGTATATTTAAGGTTATGTTGGGTGTAATATTTTACACCATGATCATGCAGCAATAAATTTGTTTTGAACTAATTTACAATACATCATTATCGGTCCTCTTTTGGTTTGTTCTAGGCATCACTGAGATAACCGTGGATACCCTAGGAGAAGGACAAAGTGCAGACGCTGAGCCCATCGCCTCTTCGTCCAAAGTTGCTGATGACGACACGAGTAAAAAGAAAAAGAATAAAGTTGTCAAGTTCTGAGAACAAATTTTTGTCTTTTCATTCCCATCCAATCCTTGGTTGGGATTTTATGTTGCTGATTTGATGGAGGTGCAAGTGAGATGTCTCTAGGATGAATGCAGCTAGATACAGCAGTTGGGGTTCAGTATGAGAGAGACAAAATATTTTTACTGGAAAATTCTTTTGTTTTTACTCACACAGTGGAATGTTGATTCCTTATGTTCCTTACTTTCGGCATCTGTGGTACAGTGTGTAAGCTCTTAACTATCGCATGCAGGAGCCCCAAGTTCACTTCCCTGAGTGAGGAGGGTTTTTATAGAGTATTTCGGTCTTCCTGCTGGGATGTTGTATCCCTCTCAGCCCAGGTTGGCACCAACTGGCAGGGTTGGCAGCCCCCCTCCTTAAATAAATTACCTAAATTGTGTGTTGATGGGGGAGTAAAAACACCTACATTAACCCTATCCGTATGCCCTGGGGTCATTTTGTACCCCCAGGGTTGTGTCCTTCACAATTTAGAGTACTTCTAGAGTGAAAAACTCTTTGAAACTTTCAGTATTTCTTTTAAAAAACCCAACATTTTGACAGACTGCTTTACAAAATGTATGGATAAGATTAACGAGTAAATTTCCTCTTTGAAAAGTGGTAGCACAGAGTTCCCCACATAAAAAGAAAACAAATTCAATGAAAGTGACAAATACAGTATAACACGGATAGCTCGAATTCTTCCGGACTGGCCTCGGTAGTTCGAGGGATATCTTACAAAGATAAAGAAGAAGAAAAAAGGGATCCCAGGCAAAGTTTGGCGGGTGCGTTATTTCGAGTCCTCTGTGTTCGACCTATCCGTGTTATACTGTATTTCTTTTTTTTTGTCCTGAGGTCCAAAACAGCAATGTGTGATATTAATTTTAATTTATAAAATATTTCCTGATGGTGTATAGAACAGGCCACACACTTAGATATCAGTTGGCTGTAGATTGTCCTAAGTAAGCAGAAAGAATGCAGCAAATTTCTGTCTGTGAAGAGCAAACTGGGAATGTACTGTAACTTGCCGTGAGACACGCCAAAGTGAGACCAGCTCGCGACCTCAGTGCTTTCTTGTAGTATCTCCATTTTTTTAAACAGTGAAAATGTGACTTCTTCTTAAAGCTCACTCTTTGTTATGAACTGTTTTCACTGTTATTAAAAATGGAGATACGACAAGAAAGCACTGAGGTCGCCAGCTGATAAAGTATCCCTTCAGTCATTCCAAAATGCCTAGGTCCAAGGCTGATTTGATATTTTCATGAAGCTCACATTATCAGAGACATAATTTGGGCATGCGCAAAAGAAATCACCATTTGAAGAAAGAAAATGTAGCAAATTTATTCTTTGTAATTTCCAGTTCCATTATTTGTTTAAACATGAATTTGATTGACCCTGAGTACATTTGTTTTCTTTTCGAAGAAAACACTTCCCCTATCATCTTTCCAGTACCAGTATAAAAAACATCGCTCCTCAGTGACTTACCTCGAAAATCTTTTTTAAAAGTAATTTATCTAAACATGTAACATCAGCCGAAAATTATTGAAGAAAAACGCTGGGAATTTCAGTAGATTCTTATTTTATGCAAAATAGTTGTACAATCTGAATTTGAAGAAATGAAAACGATTGGCAAGAGAATGAACTTTTTCAAGTCATTCAACCTAATTCAAGCAATAAAGAGATTTTCAGGAAGCACAGGTCCAACTTTCTCCAAGGAGCTTAACAAGACAATTCACAACAGTCACTGCAGGTACACTCGGGTCAGCGTTGTGCGAAAGTACAGAGTGAGCATTATGAGAATATCAATATCCCAGCTCTCATGGCCATTGCATACTTAAAAATTATGTCAATATTCAAGAACTGCCACACTTTTGACATCTAAAACCTGTCTGGCACATTTTCACAACACATTCACTAACAACATTTAAGTTCAAATTAAAATCAAGAGACCCCGCTCAAAGAACAAAGATAAAAATAGAAGCGGAAAAGGAGGTCAAGAAGTTGAAAACTGTACAAAGAGTAAAAATGAAGGTTGTCTTATTCTTATTTTACTGTGTGAACTAGTGACAAGTGACATACCAATACCAATTGAATGTTCCTGACCATAACTGAAGTTTTATGTAGAGTGCATCTCCGCTTTTGTAAATCAATTTCTTTTCAGCTAATTCCTTTTTATTTATGATATCATTGACATTATGTTATATATATATATATGCTAATTAGAGTGAGATGAAGGATTAGCTTTACTAACAAGTATCTTCTGAAATTTTAAAATATTACCTTAGTTTATAACTGTTATTGCTTATTCATAAAGAGGCTTTTAAAACTGCAATGAATAATGGTGGCGCATTTAATAAAATGCACGCTCAGAGAGACAAATGGAAAAATTAATTCTCAAATCAACTTCGACATGATTTATTACAATGCACATCCCAACCCTTCTTTTGATAGACCCAATGTACATAGTACCAAAGTATTCATTTCCCCAAGTTTAAGAAAATAACATACAATACATTTGAATAAACACTGCTCTTTCACATCAGTCATATCTTAATTTTCCTGCATATCTGTATCTGGTTCTGTCCTCACACAAATTATAGACAGAAGCAGGTGCAGTACCTTTTTCATTTGAATAAATCTTTGTCAAATACATACAGAATAGTTCATGCTACAATCTTTATCATCAAAACAAGAATATATTGAAGTTCACTAAGAGACACATATCACCATCTTACATAGGCTAACTACAATAACAAGTGTCAAATTAAAATTCCAAACACTTGTCAGTAGAAATGAAAATGGGAACAACTACAACTCCATCAGGATATCAATACACATTTCAACTTTTACTGACCCATATAACATATTCTCTTCACCACACACTGTTTCTGTCTGTCTAGCTTGCTTTTCTGGAGCAAAACAATGTGCTATCTTTGTTACTGCACCTTTCTCTTTATCTCAAACTCAAACATACTGTACACAAATAAAATACTCTGTAAGGTAATGTTCTGCCTGCCGTTCACACACATAACCAACACAACACTCAAACACAAATCAAGATGACACAGGATGCCCAAAGATCAGAACTTTCAGACATTTAAGAAAAGTTGTAAGTTATGGCAGCCACTATTTACAGAATCTCTGAAAGTTTACTCTTTTGACACAAAAATTATTGTTATATCGTTTGTAACAATTATGTCACCACAATTCATTTAAACAACAGCATAAACAAAACTCTGAAAAACATTTTCACGATGACATTCATTTTATAATCATATTATCAGTGACAGAATGCGGGGACTCAAATAGGCATGAAATGTCAGTGTTCTCAGTTCTACCCTTTGGCAAGTCCAGGCTTCTCTACAAAGCATGTACTTCCAAAATAGCTAAGAGATAGCCAGCCACATTATTTTCTGATAGTTATATCTAAAATGTAAGAGTAAGAGTGAAACTACCCCCACAAAGCAGGCAATCGGTGAATTGGAGCCAACAATGAAAGTTTCTAAGACAGTCATGCAGACTGAAGCTACAAGTAAGAAAGGCACAAATGATTGTGACTGTGCAATAGAATTGTTACCAGCCATTTCCACATCAAATCCCATCCCAAATCTTTAAGACCCTCTGATTATTTTTGTTTTCTCCCAACCAGACCGGATGCCTGAAAAGAGAACAAGTTGATAACAATATTGTAACATGTTAAAACCTTCACCCTCTACAACTTGGCAATGGAATGACCAGCGAAAGCTCAAGTGCTGCAGGACGAGCAATTCTGGTTGCTGTCAGTAGAGAGTAACACAGTCTGATCAGTCTTGATCTAATTTCATGGGTGAACCTCTTGACTCTATTAAGTAATTTCCAAACTATTAGAAAGCTCAGACAAACACTTTCTAAAAAGATCACAATGTTATTGTTAGGAACTGTTATGATGAGCAGGTGACCTTCTATTACTGTCCTATTCTACAAGTTGTAGTCACACAATGAAACAGGCCTTGGTTTGCTGATCAGGATGCAACTGAATATGAGTACATTTGTCAGTGTTAACTCCAAATAAAAGATTTATTTAAAGTTTAAAAAATAATTTTTTTTAAAAGCCCATTTATTGGGGGAAAAAAAGGTAAATGACCCACTAAATCCATATCACTTGATCAATTGTGTATGGCATAGCAGCCTAATCTGCTCTGAATCATCCTAAAACACCACAGTAATGATCACTCATAACAATGACATAAAATGGGGGAAAGCACTACCGTAGATGATACAGAACCAAATGTCGAACCCCAAAAAAGCACCGGAAAAAAAGTCAAAGCAAGGGGAGAAAACATCCCTCCAAAGCATGGACTAGCAAGGGAGTATCTAAACAACATCATCATAAGTCCTATCACACTAAAAATTATCATGATTAACCCACCACCTCCCACTTTCAATGAGACGAAAAACGAGATACAAGCATTTCGTTATCCTTGAAAAAAATGTCATATTTTTTCCAAATGAAAAGTGACTGTCAGAAAGAATGGGCGACAGGCCTACCTCACTACAGTATCGTGTTTACACTGAGGGGCCTTGGGTCCAAAGTTCCCCTGACTCATCACTATAATGATGTTACAATTACAACAGCTTGTATACCAGTCTACGTTAAAAGAGCATATTTTAGGCGGTCACGACGCAGTGGAATCAGGTGCTCGTAAATTTTTGCGCATGTGGAGTTATTGGTATCAACTTAAAGCTTGTTCATTTATCTTGCTTTTGATGAAAAAAATACCCATCTATCTTGAGCAGAAGTGAAGATATTTGTGATTGAAAGAGGTAAGTTCACTTGGTTTCAGCGGTAAAAATAGTGAGAAAATGGCCGCCAAAGTTTGGTAACTTTAATAGCTAAAGAGTCCTTGAAAACTGAAAAATTACATATTTTGAGCTTTTCATCGTTTTACAAGACAATTCACAAGGAAGTGTGTTTTTATTTGGACATAAAAGGGTTGAACAAAAAACCCAAATTTTGATTAAAATTGCAAAACTGGTGGGGAAAAATGCCTGTTTCTCCAATTTTGTTATTTTGACGAGCGCCTGATTTCACGATGCCTCACATATCGACTGGTAAGTGTAATACTCCGTTATATCATCGCCTCTGAACTATTATGTCCGAAGCGTAGCCTACTTATATAACACATTATACCCTAAGCACCCGGACGGGAAGTCCATTGTTAGATCCTAAGCAAGGGGAAGGAACCCACTTCCCGTGAATACAAGCATTTAAAAAACACATTTTAAAAATACTAAACAAATTCCAAAAATCCTGAAAAAAGAAAAGTAAAAAAGAAAACTGAATGTAGTTTCAGAAAAATATAACTTTATGTATGCGCAAATTGTTGGAAAGGTTCTAACTTTAGTTCAATCGGGGTGTCCGACCCGTCACTCTCACTCTCAGCCTCGCGGTCGGGCCCTAGATCCAAATTCTAGATTTTCTCCGTCTGATCAATTTGAATCACCCCAAACTCTTGCTACAACGTTTTTATCAAAATCTGAGCCATCTGATTTTTCATATGCTTGTTTTTGCTCAAATCCATCGTTATTTCCGTTTTCGAACTCAATTCTGTTGCCTTTCAACAAGTCGAGACACTTTCGAAGTGTTGGTAACACGATTGCACTTCGATCAGCTCTCATACTAAACTACTGGCCCGAAAAATTTCGTTTCGGTATCAAACAAAAGAAGAAACTTTTTGCTATAACTATGCAAATCAAAATCTCTGCCCCAGAGTCTCCTCAAGGCAAGACTTCGTTTCTAAAGACGCTAGGTCCGCGCGGGCGGTTCCGGGCGAGTCAGAATGGAGCGCGTAAGGGAATTCTCGGGCAATCCCGGGCAAGCTAGGGTGTAATGTGATAAAGAGACAATTTGGACAAAATAGTTCTGGGGTGACGACATGTCACTCTTCAAAATGGTGTATAGCCCAGTCTCACACTAAGCAGTCGATATGAAATAAACAGAACTAGACTAGTCTAACATCTCTCACAATCACAAGTGGAAGCACAAAGTTCATAACGCAGGGTGAATGATGCAGCTGTAAAATTAGTTTAAGCTAGGCAACCTAGATAAGCTCGACGCAATAAATAAACAATTACAAACTTGATTACTTTGACTTACTTATCTGACATGCTAAGAATGTCCATTCTATCAATACTTGTTTTCAACAGCCAAAATGAGCAAATACCATCACAGTCAAACACACTATACAACAAACGAGCGTGCAATTTCACTTTTCAATTATTATTAACTCTGTAAATTCATATTTTCACACACGTTCGTACCCTTTTAACGTCTCACGCAAGGGCTGGGCAATGAGACGCTTTGGCAAAATCCGCATAATGTATTAGTGCACCTCTTCAGTGATTAAATGTGTTAAATGAACCTGATTCTGCTAATGGGTTTTAGAACCACTTCAACAAATAGGTGCACCCACTTAGGCACACGGGTCAGTAAAGAGAGTTTAAGAGTCTGAATTCGGATAATGTTTTACTGAGAACTATCCGGTTATCCGGATTTTGCCCACCACTATCTCACGCAGCGAAAAAAACCCCAGGCATTTCAGTCACTTTCTTTTTCCCACTCATGTCTCACAGAGCCTGTACTCACTTTCACCATGTATTGACTGACTCAGACTGAGAGTCTTTAGTTTGTACATGTTAAGATGCCGCACACTTCACAAATTTTCTTCAAAAGCCACAGAAATTATCATGTAACTGTTCCCACAAGACTATATTTAATCTTGCAGTAAAATTTTATCATAATAGCAACAGTTACTAGCAAACCAGACAAATATAAATTTTTTGAAATATATTTTTAGACAGTTGATACAAAAATATTCCATCAAATCCTTTAGACCCTTTTTTTTTTCAACTTTATTTTGTTCACTTAGATGTAGCAAGCACATTAAGTATTTGGCATCCAAAAAAGTGCAATATTGATCATAAACCCTGTTAAAAGTTCCCTTGATCCAGTTGGGAATGACAGTCAAACAAGAATGCGTGACGCATAAAGCCAAATATGATAAAGGAAGTATGAAATATAATAAACAAATTTAAGATATGGGTGGGGAAAAATATCTTTCACTTAAATAAAATGAACATTACACATATATTATACAAAAAGGAAAATAAAAATAAAAGGCAAGGTTATAGTCATTTTGAAAAAAAAATGATTTCCCTATCTACAAAACACTGTCCTCCCGCACCAGAAATAGACGAGAAAACAGAATCAATACAGAGAAACCAAGAGAAATGAGAGGGCACATGACAGTCATTCTCAACAGTCACATTCAGTATGAGCATTTTGTTTCATTATATTTGATTTTTAATTTCAAATTACAAAAAAAATACTACTCCCGTATCTTTCAAATGATGTACATACAAAAGACTTTCATAGATCAATAGAAATACATTTGTTCCCATCCAAACTCCAGCACCTCTTTCCTTGAGCCCCCTTTAGAATAATCACAGAAGGAATAAGTTGAACTAATACTACATAACACAGGCTCTTAAACTTGCATACAGAGAAATATTTGTAGTAATGTGAATTGAACAATAGCCTTATGTTACTAGTTCCAAAACACAAGGATCATCAATTAAAAAGAGAATAAACGATTGTTATCATCACACACTCAGTGTACAGTAAAACCTGTTTTGTACATTCTGCATCCAAACACAAAACACCACTAGAACGAAATCGAAGCATCTGTTGAGCATCACTAAGTGGTCAATCCTGTTTCTGCTTCCGTTAACATTGCAAGCTCATTCTCCGTCAGCTCTCGGGCTCGTAATGGGCCCATGTCGTATTTTCTCAAGTGAATCTGAGGAGAGTATGACAAATTGTACGTTTTGTTGATCCCAGTAAAAAGAAAAAAAAAGGCAACTACAGTCGAACCTGTTCTAACGACTTCCTGTTCAAGACAATCACCTGTAGAAATGGTCATTTCCCACTCCCCTGTCCCCCCTTGCTTTTTTTCTGTACTACAATGACACTATCCAAGATCACTATCTGTCAACCAACTTTCCCCTGTACAAAAGACAGTCGTCTTGGGCAGGTTCAATTGTTTTTATATAAATATATATATATATACTAGCTGGGTACCCGTTCAATGAACAGACTAAAAAGAATCGATCATAAAGTCATTACGGATCAGTGTGAACTGTTCATGAATGGAAGCCTCATTTGTTTACAATGGCGTCTTAGAAGACGGATTTTCCCAAAATAAGATCTAAACGAAGCTAAGGAAAAAAATGAAAATTCAGACTCCTTAATATAACTGTGCACCCTTTAAATGATTCTGAAACACCATTAGTTTTTTCACATTCGAAAGTTAAGTGGTTCGGAAGTTTTAGGCGACCAAAGTGATGAACTTCCATAAATATATATATCTGGAAGGAGAGAGATCCCCCAAAAGATATTTGGACGTACAACAGTCATGAAATACACCACAAATTCAATCATTAGCACAACACGGCAAGCCGTCGTAGTGCACCTCAATTTTTCTGAGCTAGGGTTAATAGGTCTACCTCTAACTCAATAGACACATCTAAGACCCTGCCAAGCTTATGTCCTTGACATTATGAGTGAGTCTGAGCACCTTAACATCTTAGCAATGGAAGGCCAAAGTTTTACTTTTGAGAAATCTGACACATACCTTGTGTGGTAACCTTTTATCTGCACAAATCAGCAGCTATAGCAAATGTAGAAAAAAGAAAATGGTAACTTTATACTTCAAAACCGTTGCACAGACATTCATATGTATGCATGTTTAACATGACAGGCTGTTCATTCCACAAAGTCATGTAAAGTGATGTTGTGCAATCTTGTCACATCCAACAGCATGCCGCAAAATTGCTCTCTAAATGATCTACATGAGGGGGTGAGATGCAAAACCCACTAAGCGACATTTTGGAGAAAAAAAAAGAAGATTTTTTCGCTTGTAAATGCACATTGTTACCGGTTATCAGATGCACAAAGTATTTTCGGCAAAAACACAACACATACTTCATAAAAGCCACAAAAAATATTTTTACGCATGTTCATGTGTATAGCAGCATTTTAAAAAGCTGATTTTCTCAAAAGTTCGAAAATGGATGTAGCGGGTTTTGCGTCTCAGCCCCTCACATATAAAGTTCTCACCTGCAAAAACACATTGACTTCCATACTTTTACTGAGATAAGGAAAGTTTCCTCCGTGCTTCAAATGGGCTTTTTTGGCATCGGGGTAGCACTTGCTCATCTCATCACGGACAGAGGCAGATAAGGCACATTCGTCATACACCTGGAGAAGAACACAGAAGCAAATCAGTGAATGTAATAGTTGAAGTTGGATATAATATAATTCTACATATTATCAATATCATTAAGGTAGTTTCTTCCATCCTTTCACATTTCTGATAGAGAAACAAAAGTAATGACTTGAATGCATATGAGAGAGAGAGAGAGAGATTCAAAGATTCAAAATGATTTATTGATTTGAAAGGCCTTTGGCCCATACATCCACATATTTTAACATATGGTTCGGCAATTACATACATTGGTGCAGCACATTGGATGTTTAACATAAATTGGACATGC